AGGGTTTAATAGATTTTTGTAGGAGCAGAGCCGAGCAGAGAGCTCAGAAAAAGACGCTTGCTTTTCTCCGTCTTCGAAATTAAACTGAGAGAGAGAGAGAGACTCGTGGACGGTGAAGCTTTTGCAGTTTGAGATGACGAAATTGCCCCTTATGTTTCGTGGACGTCCGGGCGAGGGTATTTTGGGTACTGATGATATCACTTGTTCTAGAAAGTTTAGGTTTTGTTCACTTAAGATTTCGGAGGCTTTTTTTTTTTTCGTTTAAAGTCAAGAATTTAGGCACATCACGTGATTCACGTCTCTTAATAAAAAGCATAGACTTTTTGTTTTTCAAACTAGGTTGGATTTCTAAGCATTTTGTTTCTGTTAATGCCGTTTGGAAGAATAGCAAATGTACAGTACACTATAAAATTTCTTATAGTGTACTGTACCCCTTACGTGTTGGTTTTATTGATGTTTTTCTCTGGATCTTCAAGATTTAGGGATCTCGGAATTTCATAGAAGGTTTGGTTCTCTTTCTGTCTCGATCGATTTTATTCATGAATTTGTAAGTCTTTTGTCTCCATCTAACAATTGAAATTTCACAGAAACTTCGTTTTGATATTGGCGGACAAGTGGTAATGTTGTCTACGTAGTGCTTCGTTTTTGGTATGTAAAAGCAACCCAATCATTCGCAGTGACCATCTTCGTTTCCCGTTTTCTCAATTTCGTCAGAGAATGTAGCGTAAATTTCAGAGAAAAATCTCAACTTTTTTAGTTTCCTGTCTTGGAATTTGGTTGTTTTGACCAAAATTAGGTTTCTTCATTTATCTTTGGTCAATACATTTCGAAATTGATATAAAAATCTTCTTCTTCCTTATTCGTAGGGTTTCACTACGAATCGAGTGTTGGTTTGCTCTTTAATCTCATTGATTCGAGTGTTGGTTGGATCAATGAGATTTCATAGTATAGGTTTCCATGCATCAAGATCAAGTAGGAGCGGGATTGATTAGGTTGACTTATTCATGTTCATCAAAGTTAGCGAAATCTATTAAAGCGGCATTCCAAATTATAATTTGAGGTTGAATATCAGGTTGGTTCCCAGTCTTATCTTAAACAGAATTTTTCTCTGGTAGGATCATGACGATTGGTGTTTTAAACTTGGTTTCATTATCTTTTCTGTAAACTAATAATAATCTCTCTTCTTGATGAGACACATTGTAGGCGTTCTGACAACTTTCTATCATAAATCAACCCTTTGTGTCTTGTGATTGAACCCAATTAGTATGTCTTCTTCTGCCTATGATGTACGAATCGTGTTGAGTCTTGTTTCGGATGCTTACCTCTGTTTTGTTTGGTCCTTTTCTGTTTACTCTTTTCATTCTTAGGAACCCAAAAAGCGAGTCAAAGTGGCTACAAAGAAGAAGTCGGTATACTTTAGGATTGTTTTATTTTATCAATGTATCAATTTTTGGTGGTTTCGTGTTAGATTTGTTGTCTCCTAGGGGAAAGGTACGAATCTTTTTTGTTTGAGACACTACCAAAGCTCCGTATTGGTGGATCTTTACCTCCCAAGGAGGATGTTACTCAGTGTATTAAAGGGCTAAAGGCAGTCCGTCCGTCTTCAAAGACAGAAACCAATTCTTAGGGATATGTTGAAATTTCCACCAGCTCTTAACCAGGTCACCATGATAAGAACTTTGGTAATACTCTTTGCAATGGATTTGTTTATATTTTGCTTATACATGTCACTCACTTTGTTATGGTTATTAGAAACCCATATTTTTGTTCCCGTTCGTTTGAATGATCAATCACTTAATCTATCATGTATATGTAATTCAACACCAACCAACCTCTTTAAGATTCTCTTCAAGCATAGGCCAGAGGAAAATCTTAAACGACCACATTTTGATGAGAGCTCAAGCTAAGGCTGAGGGATTCAAGTCTCAAGCCAAGACCACAACTAAGGAGAAGTTTTTTTTGCTAAAGAGGCTGCCCAGAAGACCTCATCATCTCGCTTGTTCTCGGTTAAGAAGAAACTTACAATGATCATGGTTTTGTTTAGCGATCACTTGAATCCCTATTTTTGTTTTAATATTTTACGTTTTTATAGATGTCAAGCACCTGAGCATTTTATGCAGTTTTGTTGTCTATTTTGCTTATAAGGTTTTAAAATTTTGATCCTTCCGTGGGTTTTAAAGTTTCAGGTGATACTTTTGGTTTTGGCCAGGTGATGATGTTCTTTGGCCAGGGAAAATTGGTCAGATTAAAACACTGTTGTTAAAAGGTTAGACTCATATGATTCATATTTCTCCATGAAATATTTATTTTGTCGTTCATATTTGGGTATATGCTAATGTGTGGTGTTTATCATATACCTACTTCAAACACAAACATAAAAGAGTTGAGGACAACAAAAGTAAAAACCTAAACACACAAATGTATAAAAGTTTAGAGAATATTAAGAATGATTATTTAACTTGCAAAACCTTATAAATTTGTGGAATAAGTAAATATATTGTTGTGGCAACCATCGAACTCATGCTTTTCATCGGAAAAAATAAAATTGTCTCGAACATTCAATCTATAAATGAGAATCCAACACTCATGCTTTTCTATTTAGCTTTCCAAAGTTCATCGATGAGGTATGTATCAAACCTTTTGTTTCAAATAAATGAAACAAAGATAATTTAACAGTTTCTTATAACATATGCTTGATATGATATTACTGGATGAGACACTCGCTGGTTCTAAGAAGCTTCAAGATAAAGGTATCAAAGAAAATATCAACCAAGAAAATAATTCTAGCGCTTTACTTGCAATCTCAACATGCTAAAAAAAAAAACAAGTGGCCTGAGAAGATGTTTCCACTGTAAATCAATTTTAGCTATTAAGAATTTGAGATTTCCATTAAAATTGAAAATGGGAGAGCTACATAAAACATATGTTTCATATTATACTGCTGGATCATGCATCCATTGATTTTAAGAAGCTTCAAAAGAAAGGTGTCGAATAGAAGAATCAACCAAGATAAACAATTGCTGAGCCACAAATGCAGTCTCAAAACACTCAAGAAAACATTCAAGGAGGGGATTTAGCTTCTATTTGAAATAAGAATGAAACATGATTTTAGCTTAAAGAGTCTCAGTAACTTTGCTTTGTACGGTAAGCCTCTTGGTTTGGAAGGACTATTGAATCCGGATTTGAGATCCCATCCTAGTTTCATCTCCGGTAGTAAAGTATCCGTCGGAAAATCGAAACTCTGCCACAAAAAACCATTAGGATTGTTGTTGTTAGAGTCTCTTAGCACGAAGTTACCGTTATCAAGAAGCTCTGCTACCACCGGAGATCTCACGTCTCCTCCGGTTAGATTCGTCGACCAAACTGGTTTATCGGATTGGTCGAAAATGACGAGGTTGTTGTCGGAGATTTTGAGAGTTCCTATGGGGTTAGAGAGAGGAGAGTCTCTGTTTGCAACCCATACATAGGTTCTCTTAGGGATTGTCTTGTACCAAATCCCAAGAAACCAACGAGATTTTGAAGAAGGTTTGAAGAAACCAAGCTCGAAGATATTACCAGGAGATAAAATGGTTTGGTTGCTTGAGATTGTTAGAGATTCTGTAGCCGACAAAGAGTTTGCAGAGATAGAGAACGAAGGAAAAAGAGTTAAGATAAAGAAGAAGAAGGTGTAAGAATGGTAGTAGTTTGGTACACCTCTCATCTTTTTTCTACACCACTTTCTTGTGTTCTTTCTTTCTCTTTTTCCCCTACTTTCTTGAGAAAAATATTTTAGAATGTTAATCTTTGGAGATATCGTTTATATTTTGTGCTAAATGTGTGAAGTTTCTTAACTAGATTTTATATTACTGTCAAATATATTTGTTTTTCCGTTTTTCGGTTATCTTAAACCGAATCTCAACGAATCGCTGAGCTCCATAGAAATCCACGTATTATTGCCACGCAAAACGTTTACAGATAAACAAATATAAAATATAAGATAATTTCATGTTTACGGATATTTATTTACCTATCGGAACAAATAATTGAAAATTTCAATATGACAAAATCAAAATTCCGTCCAAAAATCCATTTTTCTTTTCAAATACGTTCTAGAATCTGAATTTTTTGGAAACGCATAAAAACGCTGTGAAAAATGATTCTTTTCAAATTAATTATAGTATGCATCTGTTATGCATAAAAACGCATAAATATAGTATGCATCTGTTTTGCTGCGCCTAACGTTTTAAGTCTATTAATTAGTTCTCATTCTTCTTCTTTTTTTCATTTTCTACAATTTCTTTTAAGGATAGGATTTAACTAACTTATATGTAAGGGGTATTATCAACGTTTGTATATGTCCCAAAGGCAAATCATATTTGATATAGTGGTGCAATGACTCTGTTGGTCATATTAATTCTCTAAAGTCATGTGGTTATAGTGATTACTGATATACAATAACCATTGAGAAAGTCATATAACTTTACCAACTCCATCCATTAGAGATGAGAAAAAACAGAAACTCAAAGATGAAAAGAAACCAAAAAGCATATAAAATCATTCATCTTGAACCCAAAATACTTTTGCTTTCGCCTTTATCCGTTTTTGTCTTCTCCACTGAGGCAACGTAAGAAAGTAGTGAAGTTGTATCTATTATTTCAACATGGGGAGGACAAGGTATCGATTCCATCCACCGTGGGAGCACGAACTGGGATAAATCGACCGCAGTTCCACATCTGAAATCATAGTATGCTTCTCCAATATATATAAACCTATCCATATGCTCTTGACAAATAGACCGGTTCATGAAACAGTCATCATCGTACGGTTCTGATGCGTTTCTGACCATTCTATAGTTTCGTGTCTTCACGTTAAATGACACCACACATTGGTTTTGTTGGTTCCATATATAAACAATATCACAATCAAATGGATGCATTGTCATTGGTGCATAATAACTGATATCAGACTGGACAAATGAGAGGGGGGTTTTCGACAAAACTTGCCAACATTCATCCTCTAAACCAACATTGCTCAACCTCCAAATCTTCAAAACATTGCCGTTCTTTCGAGGTAATGTTGTGATAAACATGAGATATCCTCAAGATGTAGTCAATGTTCTTTTGTATTTTTCGCCGTAGTGATCCGGGAGTTGTATAGCCCGGAATTGATCGGATTTAGAGTAGAAATCATGAGCTATGACCTTTTCGGCGTCTGAATTTACCCATGCTCCAGACAAAAAATAATGCAGCCCATTGAAACTCATATGACATGAGTAGACGGCGCAAGAAGGGATGTGAAGTCTCTTGTAAGTCCAAATCCCTGTCTCAGAGAAATATATGCACATATCCCTAAGTATATCATCCTTTAACCTAAGCACTTTGAAGCTCAAAACGACTCCGTCCTCGTCCACACGAGTCACGAAACCAAACCGATGAGATTTATATGGACAAGAAGGGATTTTAACCCACTGTTGTAATACTGGATTACCAACATAGCAACCATAATCAATTCCTTCCATTAAAACCAATCCATTGGAAGAAAAATAACAAACGAAATTACCGGTTCGAAGATCCGGTAAAACTGTGATATAAGAAGCTGGAGACTTTGGAAGATCCCATGTCTGACATCCATATAACCCTATATAATCTTCACACCTATAAGATCCACGTATTAGTGACCAAGAGGAAGATGAGTTTTTGTGCAGAGACACAAAGAGACGTCGGAAGAAGATAGATTCAGTTGTAGATTTCCATGTTTTGCAAACAGATTTGAAGCTGGAGATGCTTCTCAATGGTAACCTTGCTAGAATCTCTGTTGATATTTTCTCGGGAAGATGTGTGTTGTTGGTTGGTCTTTTCATTGGAAATTGCTTCTCCTCGTCAATTAATTAGGGTTTCTAGGTTCAAGGGAAATATACAAGTGATACGATTGAGTAGTGGGCTCGACTTGGGCCCTAAGATTCAAAAACTATCTTAGCCACTTATTTATTCTTGTTGGGAAAATTACCCAATACTATTTTGTGTGAATAAGATGGGAATTAGACAACTAGGTTTCAAGCCAAACTATTTTGTTATTAGAAAAGATTTAGTACAAAAGTAGTTTACAAGTGAATTCTCTTTATGGTGTGTTCTTAGGCTTCTCTCTTTTTGTGGGATGATGTTACAAATGCTACCAAGCACTCATATTTATAGTAGTGGTAGCTTAACTCCTAGTTTGTTCTAGAATCATCTCTAAGCCTTATCCTAAGGTTAGTTTATCATGATAATTCTAGAGAGATCTCTAATTCTCCATACTTCTCTATACCTATCCTTAATCTTCTCCATAGTTCTAGAAGCTTCTTTATCATTCTAGAATCTTCTCCATAATTCTAGAGTTATATTCATTCTTCATGATTTGTATAGGCTAATGGAGGGAATATCCAACAAATCTCCCCCTTCCCGACTTTAGCCCGAAGTTGTCACGATCCCGATGCCTTGACAACAATCTTCAAACTTTTGGACTGGTAGCACTTTGGTCAAAATGTCAGACCAGTTCTCATATGTGTGTACCTTGTCGAGATGTAGGA